CTCAACAGTTATTCCAACAAATGCAGCGTGATTGCAAAGAGCAGCTGCTGACAGTTCTTTCTGGATCACTTACAAGCCGCAAACGTGACGTACCTTGCGTCTGGCTGACATGCTGAGAAATGTCAACATCAGGTAATGAGAATGTCCTTCGTGCTTCCTGCTTGGCAGCCTGCTTGCTGTATATATATTTCCAGCACTGGCATTTGAATGACTCCCAAGGAATAGGCAGAGGAGGAGGCACGGAGAAGGAGGCAGAGACAGACGATTTGCCTCTTTCATGTCCCAGTCCCAGTTGTTATTTGTCTCTGACTTGTCTTGCATGTGCACTTGATGTTTATCTCGCTGATAAAATGCAATTTTCGGGCGCCGCTTTAGCTGCAAAGCCGTTGAGAAATGGCAAATGCCTTCGCTTAGCACTTGGCCATGACAGCTGCTAAGCATATGTAAATCAGGCAACCACAGCTACCATTTGTCTTCACGCCACAAACGAAAAACAATACGACGACTGCTACTATGAATAAACTACGTGCCAGCAGCCAGCCGGGGCCAAAAACCTCATAACTTAAACATTAGCCAAACGCTAAAAAAAGAAGAAGAAGAAGAAGAAGAAGAAGGATAACAAACCAAGTGCGCGGTTTTATCTATTAGGAACACATGACAAATAATTCTCACCCAGGCATTAGTGAAGCTTTTCTGATAACTGACAGATATTGTTTAGCTAGGAGAACCGCTTAACTGTCTGCACAGTGTTCGATTCTCGTAAAATAATAGCCAGCGCAGTGTTCGCTACTTATGTACCGCCCCTTTGACTCCCACTCGTTTAGTACTTCATTTTTTATAATCTTTTAAGGGTCGTCTGCCATATCTTTTGTGTATTTGTTGTCGATTGTTGATGCCATTGTTTGCTCAAGCATTGCAACGTTGCTACCACTCTCTCTCTCTCTCTCTCCCTCTCTCTCTCTCCCTCTTCCTCTTTCGCTCTGTCTGCTAGAGTTTTTATTTAATGCTGGTCAAGTAAACAAAGCACTTGGGCTTAAAGACCCAAAGTGTGCTCCTCGTGCCATGCAATGGTTTATTGCACTTTGTTTAATGTGCCGTTGCCAACAGTGTTTGGGCCATCAACTGAATGAATGGCTAATAAGGTTTTTGCCTGCAGGCACATTAGATATGTAAATATATATAGTATATATATATTGTACTAGCTATCACAATTGAAAATTATACCGTAGACATTCTGGTCGGGGTTTTTTGATTTACGCGCTCTGCCCTGCAGTCGTATAAATTTCCTCTCAGATTTGAGCTATTTCAAAGAGCAGCTGCTTGGTATATTTAAATTGATAATCTTCATAAATTTCAGTAATTTACGCTCATCCCAAGCTTTCAGCTTGTGGCCACAGCTCCCAACGTTTAATTGCATTTAATGCTTCTGCTGTTTCGCCACTTGTCAAAACTATTACTTAAATGTATAATAATCATTATTTATGCATTTCGCAAATACTCAACGCATCCGCATTTACTGACAGATTATTTCATGAGCACTCCCATTTACAGTCGCATTTGTATTCGCATACCCGTTCCACGCCCCGCTGCGTATGCGTAATATTCGCCGTGATTTATGCAACACTTTAGAAAGTAGCGAGCGAGGGTGCAGATGAATATACAGTTATAATATGGAATATGGATACGCCATCACTCATGCATATCTGCTTCTGAGAAGCAGCATCCGCTGATGATGGTACGTGATCCGCCGAGCAGGAACCCTCTGGCTTTATGGCTGTGGGTATGGCTGTGGCTGCCGTTGACCTTGCCTTTGGCTTGCCTTTGCCATTGCACAACATAAAATTGCATCGTAAGTGATTTTGTTTGTTTTGGTTGCTGGTGCTGTCGCTGCTGCTGCTGCTGCTGCTGCCGCTGCTGCTGCTGTTGCCAGCACGCAGATGCTGTTTGGCTGCCTTTGATTTGTGCTTAATACCAGCTAGCACTGATTTATTCCAAGTACTTTGCCATCAACTGGGCCTTGCCTCGACTGCAGAGTGGTGGAGCAAGGCCCAACTTGAAATATTGATCCGTTTGGGGCTCGGTTCGGATATGCAAAAAAGCCCAACAGCTTGGCCACAAAGGCGAGGGCCACTGCGATTGATTGGGGCACAGCATTGTCAACCGCAGCCCGTATTAATTCTGTGGTTCGGCATTTTGGGCTCTATATTGATATTTTTCTAACAAGTTTTTCTCATTCTCACTCTTCCTCTCTCTCTTGTTTTCCATTGAAAAATTGCTGGGCATCTGAATTTATTTGAGGGCTGGACTAGACAAACACTTTACATGGCTCATTTAAAAGTGAAAAGCTCTTAATGTGGACTAAGTCTATAGTCATTTATTTTGGCAATACCCAATTGGATTAACACTTGCTGATTCATCCGCCTCGCCCAAGCCACAGAAGGCGCCCACGGGGCGTATACGCAACGCTCGTGTGTGTACCTGGTAAGTGAAAAGTTTTTCTCAAGTTTCTTTTGTTTTTACAAGCTGCAAAATGTAACGCGTGCCGCTGGGAAGACGCCTAATTTATGACGCGTATACAATAACGCGGCACATGTGGCGTATACGCAACTTTTTGACAGCTAATCAGTTAAGCCACATAAGAGGTTATATTAGACAACATTGTGTTGGCACGAATTGCCGCAGAAGCATTAAGGATATCAGGCAAAATCAAGGGAATTGTCAAATCGAGAGGGAAATGTATTTTCAAAGAATTTTAAAGCATTTAAAATGGAACTCAGCATTCAAATGTCTTTAAATTTAACTTTATAAATGTTTAATTTGAAGACATTTCAATGCCTCAAGCATTTAATCAAATTAATATTTCAAAGGGAATTCCCAGACAATGCCACAGACAAACGCAGCCGTCCAGCAGAGCCAAGACAAAGGGGAGATATCATTTGGATTCGGACTGACACTCGACTGGGATCAAACCACAATGGACAATGAGAGCGGCTCACTAGCAAATAACCAAAAAGCTAATTAGCTAAACTTATACCATGTTGCTTATTAACTTGACCAATGGCCAAACTTTGAGGGTTTCGTTTAATCCGTTCACAAAAAAAAAAAAAAAAAACAAAAAAATATATAACACTAAAGAGGGACGCCGTGATTACATAGGCTATTGACATTTGACTCTCGTCTGCGACTCTGACTGTAATAAAGATGAAGCTGGAGACAAATAATTGTATATGAAACATCACAATTTATGTACACACACGATTTCAGATGGTCCCTAAGTGGATAAGTGCAGCTTCATGTGCTCAAGATGCTTGTTAACAACAGCTAAAGGCAACTAACAGCCAAGTACATGGAGCAAAAGTTGAGTTAAATTGAAGCTGTGTACGGTGTGTGTACATATATCTATTTTGAGCACTGTTAAGACAAGAAAAATTGCCTGTAAAGAGTTCTTATCTTTATTTCTCATGTATTTTCGATATGAATATATACATAATTACGCTTGAGATATTTATTTAAAATTTGCATTTTTTAAGTTAAAAATTTTCTGAAAATAAAAAAAAAGTCGGGAAAAACTAGAAAAATGTAGAAAAATGCAGAAAATGTAATACTAATTTATTATTTTCTATATGATATTTATTAGTCATTCATCAGTTTTCTATATCTTTCTGTCAGGATCTCAATTACTTCGCCCACATTCTACAGAGTATCTGCCAGTCAGGCACTCTCGCTCAGTAACTAATGCCTAATGGCAGCACATGTTTTGCGGCCTAATGACGACGCCAGCAAAGATTGCGTCCAAATAAATGTGTCAACGCCGACGGAGCCAATTAAAACTAACGATGCTCTTTCTCTAAAATTTCAACGCTTGCGAAACATTTAGGCATAGAGCGAAAAAAATTATAATATATATTCCACACTTAAAATACCAGATAGTATCTGCTTAAGTATTAACAGCTGTTGATTTTTGCTTGTTTTTAGGGCGCTAGTTAACAGCACTTAAATTTAAATATTTATTGTGACTTTTAGTGACAGAAGTTCGGTTAGTTTTGCATAAACAAATGAGCCGTTGGCTGTGTGAAAAAGGCTTGCGCTGTGCTAAGTCAACTTTGCGGCGGACAATTTCCTTCTGGGAAATTGGAAAACTTTGCGCTATACATGCAAAATATTTTGGCAAACAGAAACCTCTTCAACATTGTTGGAGCTCGTCCCTAACATTTCTGGACGCTCGCCTTTATTGTCTGGTCATAAAAGAGAGAAAAACAACAACAACAGAGAGATTGTATCTAGAAATATTAGATTTATTTGTTCAAGGTTTGAGCAGGTTTCTGGGTTTATATCTCTCGCCCTTTTGCCTGCTCGCAGCTAGAATTTGAATTTTATGCGAATTTTCCTTCTGACTGGCGGATATAAAGCGTTGCTGAAATGTTCTCTAAGCAGATGTACAAGCAATTTGAGTTGTTTTTATTATTTGTTTATAACGCAGCAGCGATGTGGACTATAAAGTATATGTTTTATATGAAAGACATAAATTTGATTCAGAAAAGAAAAGACCAACACCCCAGTTGATAGTTGTGCGCACTTCGATTGCACTTTTGTGGTCACATCGATCATAAACTGAAGCCAAGCATGTACTTGTAATAATGGCCACGAGTGTAGCGAGTTGTTTTCAGATAAGAATAGATGGGCTCACAGTGACGCCTGTGGAGCGAGGGAAACTTTATGGGCTAAGTATAAGCAGGGGAAAACTTCAAGCGCTACTTAAGGTGGAGAGCCTTTACTACAGGTGTGGGCTCTTAATGTATATGAGATAGCTCTACATGCACCCTTAAAGCTTACCTGCCTATCTATAAAGAGAAATCCGTGTTGAAATTATATTTATCCACTGGAGCAGTGACCGTTACACGGATTATATTCAATGGATTTTTTAAGCTCCTAATAGTCGAGCGAAACAGCTTAAGAACTTTCGCAAAAAGTTTTTGAGTTGCGCTTAACCAGAAACTCACCTAACCAAAAGCCAGAAAACTGAACCGGCTTAAACGATGCCCGTTAAAGTCAAAATTCATCGTTGCTCGATGGCACCGAAAAAAATCACAAAAATTTTATGTTCGCAGCCGATGAGAATTTCCAATATTATTTAAATATATAGATATCTAATTTTTATTTATTTTAAATTTTTTATTTTATTTTCGACAACACACTGCGCGGAGAAGCGAAACACAAGCACAAAGCCAGACAGAGCGCTACTGAGATCCACTGAGGCCGACTCGTGACCGTTGCCGAGACACGTGCGTGCGGCGCCGCAATGGAAAGCCAACTGAAAAGCTGAAAAATATTGTGACCAGCTGGTCGGGCCGCGCTGACAGTCGACACGAAACAGTTTCCTGTGCGCCTGACGAAAGTGTTGCCAGCGCGGCGCGGCCGAGGCAGCGGCGGCGGCGGCGGCGGCGGCGGCGGCGGCGGCAGCGCCCAATCAGCTGGTCCGACTGTAAACACGCCCTGCGTTCCACAAGGCGCAACTGGTGTACTAAGTGCAGATGGCATCCACTCGGCATCCACAACAGCTGACCGACAGAGAAAAAACTTGTTGACGCTGCAAAGCTCTCTGCCTCTCTCACTCTCTTTCGCTAAACGGCTCTCAGCGCCTTGCAGCCCGTTTTGTGTTTGCCTGTCTTTGCGCTGTGGAATGTAAGTAACGGTTGTTTTTATGAATGGAACGGCTCACACTAGAGCTTCAACTCCATATTCTGCCCTGCTTATGCTTGTCTTTAGGCTTGCCAAAATCATGCTGCGATTTCGTTTTACTTTACTTATTTGTAGCAAAAACTTTTGGCTAGACTTGGCAGCAACAACTACAACAATCCCAAAACCATTAAAATTCCCATGTGGACTTACACCGGACGAGCTCACGAGTGGCAAAGCAGTCTATAATAAATCATCGAATGATTTAATGCAAACACTTTTTGCACACCAAGTAGCAACAATAAGAACAACAGCAGCTGCTGCCACTGTTACCGCCGCTGCTGCAACAATGAGCAGCGAAAAAATAAAATGAAAATGAAAATCGAAATAAAAATAAAACATTTTAATACACTTGAAAATTCCATGTTGAAATAAATTTAAACCCTTTTTTTTTTTTTTTTTGGGCGCTCGTAAACCGTTTGGTTATCTGAGTGTTGTGCTCTCGGTTAGATTTATGTTTAGCCCACAACACAACCACACACTCACATATGTTGATACATTGGATTATAGTATCTGCTGCATTTATATGTGTGTCTGTGTCCATTTCAATTTGCATGATTTTTTGTTGTCATGTTCGTTATTCGTCTCTTTTAACGTATGTTGATTAGCTGTTGCTTTTTTCGGGTGATTTATGGCAATAGCTCTATGATTTATTCAGGCGAAATGATGTATACGCTGCATAAGCTGCAAAAAATATAAAATAAAGACATATAACAATGTTTTGTCGGATTTTTAAGGGATTAAAAATGGAAAAGCTTTTTTGGTGACATGACAACACCCCAAAGCATAAATGCAGTTTAAAAAATCAGCTATTTGAAATGATTGCCAAATCATTAGCATGTTTTTTCTTTGCCAGTAGTACTAAAAAAAAAAAAAAAAAAAAAAGTGTCCAAGTCAATCGAAAGGATTATCGCGTCGGGCTTCGTCGCCCAAATGGTTTCTGGTTTTTGCGGTTAAGCGAATAGTTGCCATGGCAGCTACCGAGCCCTCTTTTGGCAGTGTGGGATGGGGGTGGAGGGGGGAGTGGGGAACTGACTGCTCTATGGGTAAGGGACGATGGCGCTGTCAAGTCAGCATTTCCTGTTTACTGTGGCGGGCACTCTGGCTAAAGCACACAAACCCACGCAACCTAAAATACGCATACGCAGAGTAAGCCGCAGTAAAGTCGACATAGTCGTCGACGTCGTCGTCGTCGTTGTCGAATGGATGCCAGCGGATATAGTGCTTCAGCGAAGGTCTTGGTTGCGCTTTAATGCAAAGCAGCTGAATTGGATTTGGAATTGTGTGGCATCCAAATGGCTGGCACATTTTAGCCGGCGGCAACGCAAAATGGCTGTCAAATAACTTCCGGCTAACTATGTACTCCCTTTAATTCACTGGGGTCACGTGCTAAATTGAAGCACGAAAAATCATGCTTTGTACACTATCCGCTCCCTATCCTCTCCCTCCCAGCAGCCAGCATTCTCTCCCCTCGACACGTTCCGACTGTCACCGAGGGCTTTATCAACTGTCTCGTTGTCATTTTGCGTCGCAGATTTTATATTGTATTAGGTGGATTCCCGAAACATTTGAATGCTCGGCGTAAATCGATGCAATTGAAAAATAATTGAACATTTGAAATGTTTATTGAGCGTCAGTTCAGTCAAGTTCCACAAATGTGTGACTGTGTATGTGTGTGTGCTTGTATGTGAATGAGTGTTGGTATCCTCCCAGGGGCTGTTTTGTTGGCTGCCTTTGCATATCCAATGGGTCTCCACTGGCCTTGTCTCCGTGACTGCGTTAATAGCTGCGGCAGGCGATTCCCCATACGCATTCCCCATGCGGAGCACGTCTGGCCTGTGTGATAAAAAGAATGTTATTGATTGGATTTTTAGCAGTTTCTGCTTTAACCACACTTAGGCTCATAATCGACATCCCGAATTGTGGCCATACACAATCATTCGAAGCTGACATGTCAACTCTGCATTATGGCACGAACTGTCGTCAAATTGATTTTTCCTCGTCGGCTAATTTCAACTTTTGCAGTTCTATTAATACGCTCGTAGTAAACACTCAGAGCTCTGGCTCTGTTGACTGACATAACTAAAGTAATTTGCATGTGTCTCCCAGGAGATTCAATCAATTTGGCATAATACTGAAAATGGAAAATAAATACATACGGATTTAAATAAGCCAGCCGTTAGCAGCTTAATGGAAATTTTATGTGGTTTACCAGACAGCTTTGATGTTGGCTCAAAGCTGAAGCGACCGGCATTGAATACTCAACTCAATTCTACTGGCGCGTCACCCTGACAAGTTGACACATCTAACAAAGCGCTCAGATCTCAAATGGCAGCAAAGAAACGCCGCACGGAACTGGGCCTGGGCTGAGCAGGCTGAGCGCACTGAAAGCGGCTCAGCAAGTCCTCTGAAATGTTTTCACCCGCAGCAAACTGAACAAGTTTTTCACAGTTGTTTTACGTTTATTTAAGTTTGGCATATGTGTGCGAAATTACAAAAGTCAGCCACAGACAGACTAAGAGGGTCTGGGAATGAGATAGAGACAAAGAGCGAACGAGAGAGAGAGAGAGAGAGAGAGAGAGAGAAAGAGTGAGTGAATGAGTGTGGCAGGAAAATGCTTAAAAGTTGGCACTGTCTTTTGGCTTGTCTTTGTGCTCAAAGTACAGGAAAATAATATTTTTATGGCGTTATATTTGTCGGTGCTTTTGCACCTCTATTTTCTGGTTTTCAAAATGCATTAATGAAAGGAAATGATGAAATTAAGAGAAACTAAGAGTAATTAAATATGATTAAAAAGTATGTATATTAATTCAAAAGCACTGCTGCAACACAGCACAAACAAAATAAAAACAAACAAAAAATTTATAAAAATTTTGGTAAAGATTATATGAAATTAATGAATATACAAAATAAAAATTTAATAAAAATAAAAAAATTTTAATAATATGAATCATAATTAAAGCAAATAATAGAAATTAAAAAAATATATGTATAATATCTATGTGAGCTTTTCTCAGCCAAGCCCTGTAGCAAATGTTTTCAGTCACAAAAATCAACTCAGACTTGACAGAGTTCTGGCAGTTTGACATTCATTAAACAATATATGCAAACTCACTTTTTTACAAGATTATCTTAGCGACTTTTTAAGCATTTGCTCATATTTTAAAAACACAGCACTTGGAGGTTTGCTTGTTATTAATTTTTCTTATTTGTGCACTGCTCGATTAGCTCGAGGGCCAAAAACTCTCTAAATATTGTTATGTCTGGCTACGTTTTGTTGATACAGTATTTTTTTTCGTGTATTTTTTTGTTTGCTTGTTTGAGTTGGCCCAAAAGCAAGAGCTTTGTAAATCATATTTATCGTTGGATTGCGCCGTCTGCTGATATTGTCAGCTGCTGCGAGTCCCAAGCAGCCAGCAAAAATGAAAATGATTCCTCATCGGCCGATTCCTTTTTGGAAGGTATTTTTTCGGGTTTTTCGGTTAGCACATGGGGGCACAGCCGAAAAAACACAAAATTTATTATCGCTAATATATGCGCGTTCCCGTCGCTGACACATTTATGACACATATGTGACCTGTTTGTCGTTGCATTTGCCACAATTGTTTCATTTTGCTGTTGTTGTTGTTGCCTATTTGGCGGCGCGAAGCCTTTGAGCTAGCCAGAATTTCAATTGTAATCGCACAGGCAAGCCCTCACACACCCACACCCACATCCACACCCACACCCACACCCACACCCACAAAATAGCACACACGCCCCACACACTCAGACAGAATAATAAATTCTAAAAATACAGGCAAATGTCAAGCAATTTGTTGAATGATTTCATCAATTCATTTTAATTCTGCAGCCATAGTAATGGCCAGAGCAAAGTTCAACCCGGAGAAGCAGCACTGCAGCCTGATTAATTGATTTATTATTGAGAGACGGAGTCAGCCGTTGGCGTCACCAACGCAATCCCAGAGGCGTGCAATTTATCACGAAATTCACCAATTAGCAGGCGTTCAACTCGCAACGAGAATTCGCGAGAATCTCTGACACAATTAAGTCGTCCTCCTCCTGCTCGACGTCGTTGTCGTCGCTGGCTAATGAATGCTTTGCGGGCCGAGCAAGCACGAGCCGGCTGTAATCGAGGCATGTATCAAGAGCCTTGACAATTTATTGTCATTGCAACTGTCAGCTCATAATGTGCAGCATTTCAGTTATGTTAATTAGCCTGCGATGCTTGCAGCTTCCAAGAGATTGCTCCACTTAAATGACTGACTTGCTGTAATTATATGTATGCAATGCATGAGTGTATCTGTGTGTGAAGGCCATTCAGACTTTAAAGTGCGCTGAGTAGTTAACACACATTGCGCTGGGCTAGTCAAAGAG